CCCAAGGGGTGCTGGTGCTTCGCTGGAGCTGATCTCGCCTGGGTTTTTGGGTGGTGAGGATGATGATTTTTTTTTTTTTAGGATGGACCTCGGCGGCGGCTGCTGCTGCTGCTCGTGCTGGCGTTTGATTTAGTTTCTCATCCCCCCCCACACACACACAGACACACACACACACACACACCAACCACCTATCACCACCACCCCCAGTTTGGGATCAAGCTGTGCTGGTCAGATTTTTATATTTTATATATACATATATATATATATATATCATTTTTTCCACGCCACGAGGAAAAAAATTTTGGGGAAAAAAAGGAGGTCGACCTTCGCAGCGAACGGTAAGCGCCAAAGGCTGCTTCGATGATGATGATGATGATGCTGGTGGTAGTGATGATCTTCTTCATCACCCTCTTTTCCCTTCCCGGAGCTTTCCACTCTCTCTCTCCCCCCCTCCATCCCCATCCCCACCCGAAACGATCCGGGGGTTTAAGGAGCCCTTGCGGTCCCCCAGATCTCTCGCGATCGGCGTTGGCTGCCTCCCGGATCCCGCTCGATCCTCTTACGCTGCAATACATGGAAACCGAATTGCGGGGGGGGGATGTGTGCATCTGGCTTCTATAGGCAGAGAGATACAGTCTTATTGCTCTCCTCCCCCCCCATGCATGGCTTAGCGATTGGGGGGGGTCACCAAGAGCGAAAATACAGCTCCTCCCGGGGTGCTGCAATGGGCCGGATCTTTCCTCTGGCCCCCCTCTCGTTTCGCCGATTTTATATATATATCTATATATTTATATATCCCTGCGCTGGGGAAAACGCACCGATCCGGGTAGCGCCTGGCTTCCCCCATCCCCTGCCCAGTTTCCCGGGGAAGAGGCGGGCGAGGCCACCGCGCCTGGATGGTCTCCCTTTGCCCGTGTGAACTGGGGGGCAAGCATACTTCCTCTGTATGTGTGTGTGTGTGTGTTGTGTTGTGTGTATGTGTGTGTGTGTGTAATCCAGGGTCTGGGGAAGAAGTGACCCCTTTCCTGCTCCCACTCCTCCTTGTCGAGGTGGAGATTCCAGACCTTGGATCTGCAGTTGGAGATGGGAAGGCTTTTTTTTGGGGGGGGGTCCACAAATTTGCACAAAGGGAGGGAATTTGGGCAAAGAGATCCATAAAGTTGTTTCTGGTCCTCTCTAGCTGAATATTTAAAAAAAGGGGGGGTCCCCTTATATTTATACCTACTCCACCCCTTCTTCCTTGCTTGCTTCCTTACCTTCCACGTTTCGGATCTCCTCCTTCCTTTAGTTTTTCTGCCTGTCTTGTTTACTTCTGGACCTTCGCGGGGTGCAAGGTCTGCCTGAAATCCCAGACAGATTTCTATAGGGGGGTTGGTTACTAAACACCCCCCCCTTGAACTCAGCAGGACTTCCTTCTAAGTAAACCAGGCATAAGATTGGGACCTTTAACCTGGCTGTGACAGGTCAAGGATTGTTTTTAAAAAG